TTATTAGGGCCTCCATTTCTTGGTTCATAGCTTCCTTACAATCGGGGCATTGCATTGCCTTTGTAACACTACGAGGGATGGAAATAGAAGAGATAGCAAAAATATAGGCACAATAGGAAGGGGAAAGAGCACCATAAGACACATAGTGATAGGATACTTACTACATGTCTTCTTCCCTTTTCGAATGGCAATAGGAAGATTAAGGTCAGAATTAATAATAGGATTGTCAGGAGGTTCAAGATTACTTGAGTTTGGGGATTTGGATTGTGATGGGAGTTCTGCTTCAGGAGCCACCCTCTTACTTTGCCTGAAGAAAAACTGCTGCTAGGACCGAGGTCGATACATAGGAGGAGGAGGAGGAGAAGGAATAGAGGTAGGAAGAGAGGGAGGAACAAGAAGGTAGAAGGGAGTCTGATCTTCACTTGCATTCCCCCCTTGAAGAGAATGATGGGATGATTGGAAAAAGGAAGAGGATTCCAAAAAGGTAACATCCTTAGAGACACATCTCTTTCTAGAGAGAGCATCAAAGCATCTATAGTCTTTCTGGAAAGGAGAGTAACCAATGGATTTATGATCAAACTTGTGCCAAGAAGGACTCATATCATGAACAAAACAAACACAACCAAAGACCTTAAGGGTTAGATTAAAAGGAAGTTCATCAGGGAAGAGTAGTTGATGAGGAGAATGAAGGTTAAGGACCCTTGATGGGAGTCTGTTAATGAGATATACAGTTGTCTCAATAGCATCACCCTAGAAACGAGTTGGAACATGAGCTTGGAACAATAAGCCTTGAACAACTTCAACCACATGCCTGTTTTTTTCTTTCAGCCACCCCATTTTGTTGTGGAGTATGACTACATGAACTTTGGTGAATAATGCCTCTGTTTTTTTCTCAAGCTGTGTTTCGACCATATTCATGAAGTTTTGAACAATCATAGGAACTTCATCTCTACTTTTATCAAGTAAAGTCATGTATACCGACTGTAATCATCAACGAAGAGAATGAAATATCTATACCCTCCCATACAGGGACAGCATATGGGCCCCAAATATCAGTATGGATCAAATGGAAAGCAACATTACTTCTTTTACTGTTTGCAAAATGTGTTTCTACATTGTTTGGATAAATGACAAATTTCACATTCAAAATTCGATTTTGACACAAAATCTTTGGAAACAAAAACTTGACAGAATTGATAGACATATGACCAAGGCGACAATGCCATAATTTCAAAAGGCTCATTTTCTCATTGGAACAAGATTCAATCTGGCTTGACAATCCATGCTCTAAAGGTCCATCCAGGAGATAGACTCCATCCACTTCATGCCCACTTCCAATTGTCTTTCCCGTGCTTCGGTTCTGAAAAACACAACTGGTGGGAAAAAAGGTTACTGAGCAATTGTGGGATTTTGTTAGAGAACTAGAATTGACAGACATATGACCAAGGCGACAATGCCATAATTTCAAAAGGCTCATTTTCTCATTGGAACAAGATTCAATCTAGCTTGACAATCCATGCTCTAAAGGTCCATCCAGGAGATAGACTCCATCCACTTCATGCCCACTTCCAATTGTCTTTCCCGTGCTACGGTTCTGAAAAACACAACCGGTGGGAAAAAAGGTCACTAAGCAATTATGGGATTTTGTTAGAGAACTAGTAGACAATAATTTTTTTTTGTAGCTGGGGCACATGTAGAACAGAGTCAATAGAAAGGTTATTAGTGATTCTGACTTCACCCTGACCCGAGATTGGAGTCTGTGATCCATCTGCAACAGTAATCTTCTTGCCCTTCTCCGGGGTTAACTTATATGAGGTAAAATGTGAAGGCATACTAGTCATATGGGCACTGACCCCAGAGTCATACAATCCATGGGCTAAAGGAGGTGGAACAAGCAAGTGCAGTACCTGTCTTGGCATATGAACTAGATAAATTACTAAGTCGAGGACCAGATGATGAGGATGTATCACCCTTCTCTAGCTGCAACAATATATTCCTGAGTTTGTCCATCATATCAGCGGAGTCAAGCACATCTGAGGGCTGAGCATCATTACCAACTATGGCCAAGTGAGCATTGCCCTTCTTCCCGGTTTTGTACTTTCCGGTTTTAGATGAGGATTGAGCTTCCAACACCTTTCTTTAGTGTGTCTTGTCTTCTTGTAGTACTCACAAATAACACCCTCGACTTTCTCTGCAATGGGATGTTTGCTAGTATTTTGCTACAAGGCAGAATGATCACTTACAAAGGATTGCGTCATGGCATTTCTTTAGCTTTCTTCCCCTTGTACAAGAGAGTAAGCAGTAGCAAGAGAAACAACGCTTGCACTAAGAATGTGTTGTCTAGTGAAATCAAACTCTGGGTTCAAGCCAACCAAAAAATCAAAGACTCTATTTTCCTATATGTACTTCCGTTACTGCTTAACATCTTTAGGGTCCTTGCAAACTAGAGCTTTCAAGTGATCTATTTCTTCCCAGATAGACTGTAGAAAAGAGAAATACATAGCAACAAATAAATCTCTCCCCTTGACGCATACTGCAAGCTTCCCTCCGAAGATGATACATTCTATCAGTATTGTTAACTTGGGAATAAGTAGCAACTACCCTATCCCAGATGTCCTTGGCAGATGGAAGAAACATGTAATTTAGGGCAATATGAAGTTGCATTGAGCAAATCAGCCATGACATAACAAGGGAGTTGTCTTGTTCCCACCTTGCAAATTTCAGGTCTTCAGGACTCGGCTTCACTTCCCTTTCTGTGATGAATCCCAGTTTATCTCTCCCAGTAATGGCAAGTTTATTAAATTGAGACCACTCTAAAAAATTAGTTCCATCCAGTTTAACAGTAGTTATCATACTATTGGAAATATTTGCAATTCCCGGGAACACGCCGGGAACCATCTGAAAATCCTTAGATGATTCCATATTCTAACAAGACACCTTTTCACCAACCAAAAAGGACCCTCAACACTTTAACCGAGATTCCAGACCAAAAAAACTAGGTTACCACACGGTTAAGAACCAAAGCAAGACCCAAAAACTAGGTTTGTGGCAAAATAGAGGGAGAAAAAAATCTCCCAAATTGAAAAATGACTTGAATGGTCTAGGTTTTATAACAGAAAAAATCATTAAACATGCTATACATGGATCGACATCAGATCTGGGATTTCTGCGATTTTTTCCTTGAAAAATCCACCAAAAATCATAGAAGCTTCAGATAATGACAAGAGTCATACCAAAATCTTTCTAAAATCAAGGCGTATCGAACTGTGTTGGTTTCATAGATTGCCACCGACACCTGTACGGACTGCTGACATCATCTGGCAGCGATCTGACATCAGCAGTTTGCCTTTGGGTTGGAGATCAGCAGAAAACTAACTCCCAGATGCTTCTACCCGCTCTAATACCAAGTTGCAGAAACTAGGGTTTCAAGAGAGAAGAGAAGAAAGGAAAGTGTCGAGAGGTGTGTGAAGTTCACTGTTCACACCCTCAAAAGTTCACTTTATAATTGAAAATTAATAATTACAAGAAGGCCCCTATCTGGGTGCCCAAATACAAAGAGAGTATAAGAAAGGAGAAAATGACCAAAAACACCCCTGTCTAACCATTGTCAACATTGTTTACACTGCAAAGAACTCAGATGGAACCAAAACACTAGATTTCACCACTTCTGGATGCTGTCATGGCTTCTTTTAATCACCCAAAATGTAAAGAACACCTAGCAAATTTCCAGCCACAAAAAATGAAAATACCGACTTCATAGCACTAACAAACCAATTCCAGCACCTTACCATTCACCACTGCATGCTAGCAGCTACTTACATAAGTCACCAAAACTGATTACCACTATGCCCTCTTTAGTAAAATCAATTACAGAGTCTAAACAACCACATGCATCATTCCACAGTCACACATGGTGACTGTAACTGAGTAGAAAATAGAAAATAGATTTGACCCACTCAAGGATGGCATTGAGTGGAGACACTGATCTCCAGAAAGAAACTCAAATAGAATGGGTTCTGCACTCTTAATGCCACTTCTAGTATGGATCACAGACCTTAAACCCTAACTAAAAGTGATTGCAGGTCACACTGAACACCCAGAGGAGATCACGGGTTGCTGTGATAGTCCACAAAACCTTCTAGCATCAACTGCAGGTCACTAGTGAATTTCTAAGAGTGGCCAGAGGTCACTTGCATGCTTCTATAAGAGATGAACGTGGCTCTGGTACCATGTAAATTCTGTATATATAAGAAAGGAGAAGAGAGAGAAATATAGAGAGAACAAGTGGGAGAAAATAAAATAATCTCCCACCAGTTGACAGCTTCCTCGTTTATATGTTTTAGAGTACATATAAAAGGTCTATTCTGCCCTTAATGAAGTGGGGCAGAGCTTAAACTGTTCTCATATCACAATTGTTAAGATGTGTCGAATAGGGGTAGTTTAGTCTTCTTCTGTTTATTAAGTAACTTGCTTATGTGGCTGTGTTATTAGAGTTACTCTGCCCCACACTTAAGTAAGGGCATTTCTGTCTTTGTAAACATGATTAGAAGCTAATATAGATTAAGGGGGTCGACTGAATGGGTTAAYCATCAGATTTTYGACTGACCCCTCTTCTTCTCTTCCTCTTCTTCTCTTCCTCTTCTTCTTCTTCTTCTTCTTCTCCTCTTCCTGTTCGGACTACTGTAGCAGCAGTCGAAATAACAATGATAAGTAAAGACACCAAACTACCCCTGGTCTCACACCTCTTAACAGAGCTCAACTCAACTCAGACAAACTATTGACTAACTCAGCCTTAACCCCAACTCGGGAAGTTGATCTAAGTTGGTACAGTAGTGATACACTATTTAAACAGTTGTGTATATGTTGTGTTTAGGATGTTTCATCACTTTATGCTGGGCTTTTGGAAGGGTCTAGTTCTCTTCTTCTATTTCAGGTTACTTGGATGTTTATTGATCAATAATTTTCATCAAACAAGCTTTAAACAAGTATTTTATGTGCAGGTTAATCAAGCATAGGATGAATGAATCTGATGCATATAAATACTTTGTCTTGAGAGCACAGCATATAGCACTATCCCACGGATTTGAAATAGTTAACTGGTAAAGGACTTGAGCTCAAGGTTTTCTAAAATCTAAATCAATACTATCTATCTACCTATCTATATGTACCATCTCATTTGTGCATTTGTAAAATGAACAGGGAGGAAACCTTCAACAACTTTGGCAAGCAATTGAACCCAAAGACAGTAGTGCACAACTGGTATGCCTTTTTTCCTATCATTTTTAAGGAGCCTATAGTTCCAAAGGCCCATATCTATGCATGCATTTCTTTATTTAACTATAATTTGTTGGTTCAGCTGTCCTAATTTGTTTGTTTTATCTTTGTTGTGTCTTAAGACATTAGTTATTGGGCCTAATCTTATTTAGTGTTTTATTTGACTAGGTGTCCCATCACTAATCAGGGGCATTCTAGTCTATTTATGTAACATTATGTAATGCTCTTATACATAATAGTTTAGGGCTGGCTGAGAGTGATTTTGCCGCCCTTCTCATATCTTCTCCTTCTTCTCTTCTCATTCGGCAGCCTTATTCAAGCAAACATGGTATCAGAGCTCTAATCTTTCACCTGGTTACAGCAGCCACTTCTTCTTCTACTCGCATCTACCTCTCTCTCTTCTTCTTTTCTATCTTGGTTGCTTCAAAGAAACCCTATGGTTGGTCGTAGAACAAAGCAGGACCTACATCTAGGGTTTCCCTTGGTTGTAGGGCCCAAGGGGAGTTAGACCCAGAATCCGAGGCCCTAATAGGCACAGTACAGCAAACTGTAGCCATTCGGCTAAGAGGGATCTGTGTAGAACAGATCTAGGAGGGAGGACTGAACTCAGCAGTCCTAGAACTGTTCGTGGGTGAGGTTATTGCCTGTGATAGCAGTGATTAGCACACAGTAGAAGCCAACACAGCAAGTTGCAGGCTGCGGCAATAGTGATTAGAACACAGTAGAGGGTTGCACAACAGATTATAGTCTGCGACAGCAGTAATTAGGGCACAGTGCAGTAGTGTAGTACTTGGTGTTTCAGCTCTGTGACGGGTTCTCAGGACTGAGTTTTAGTGCAGCAAGTTCCGTAAGTTTGAAACAGTTCTCTATATAGTGTTTACAGTCTTGACATTTACAAGTAGGAGAAGATGTCTTCCATATCCAGGGAAGTGTCTTCTAGAGATGTTAGGGCTTGTAGGAGGTCTCCTAATCTGGAGAATCCAAATCTGCACAGCCTACAGATCACAAATGTGTTGTTGGATGAGTACAACTTCAGAGAATGGTTTCTGCCATGCTCTTCATCATATCCCGGGGACTCACTGGTTACTTGGACGGGCAGAAGAAGGAACTCAAAGTGGGGAGTGCTGAATATGCAACTTGGCGCAAGGAGAATGCTACAATTATGTCCTGGCTACTTGCTTCAATGACTCCAAGGGTAGCTAGGACTGTTCAACATTTCTCCACTGCTGCCAAGACATGGGAAAAAGTGTCTAAAACCTATGGGCAGAAAAAAAAAATAATGCCAGAATTTATAGACTGAATCAAGACATTGTTGCCTTGAGGCAAGGAGATATGAGTGTTGCAACATATTTTGCTACACTAGAAGGACTATGGGAAGAACTAGATCATCACCTTATTATTGATTGGGAGAATGCCAAAGACAAGGAAAAGCATGACAAATAGGTTGAAGAGGGTAGATCATTTAAATTCTTGGCTGGCCTAGATCCAGTATATGAGAGAATAAGGTCCCAAATTCTAGGAAGGGATGGAATGCCAGACTTACATCATGTCTACTACCTTGTGAGGAATGAAGAGGTGAGAAGAAARGAGATGCAGGTTGATACTCAAACTAAACTAGTTGAACAGTCTGTGGAACATTCGGCCCTAATCTCTACAAATCAAAAAGGGAACAGGTACTCGGACAAGAGACATCTGAAGTGCACCCACTGTGGAGGAGAAAGGCATGTGAAAGAGAAATGTTGGATTCTCTATCCGCATCTGAAGCCAGCTGCATTGAGGAGATAAGAAGCATCAGAAAGGTCAACCTGCAAGTGGGAATCTGGCTGCGAGTCACAGTGATGAGGGTTCAAAACACTCATCCATAGTTACTTCCTCTTCCATGGAACAGACTACTAATTCCCCTGGAACTAGGTCCTTGGGTTTTACTGCCGATGAGGTAGAGGTACTTAGCCGGGCCATAGCCCGTCTAAGGACCAATTCTCTTTCTTCCACCTCCCTTGCTAGGTCAGGTATTGTCTCTGCCTTTAGTGCAACTAGTACTATTGATTCTACCTCTTGGATTATTGATTCTGGTGCAATTGACCACATGACACACATGTCTTCTCTATTTTCTTCCTATCATTTAATGTCTGGCCAAGATAAGATGAGGGTTGCTGATGGTTCTCTCTCTATCGTTTCTGGGAAAGGAGTGGTTGACCTAAGCAAGGACCTCTCACTCAAACCTGTCTCAGAAACTCATGGTAATCCTATCAACTCCTCTGACTTGGATCTTCCTATTACCCTTCGTAAGTCTACCCGTTCTTGTACTATCAAACACCCCATTGCTGATTTTGTGTCTTACTCACAATTGTCTCCTCGTTATTGTTCTTTTGTGTTTGCTCTCTCTTCTATGCATGTCTCTACTAGATATTCAGAGGTAGTATCTGACCCAAAATGGAAAGAGGCTATGGGCGAAGAAATGAAGGCCTTAATGAAAGCAGGGAATTGGGAATTAGTGGATCTGCCAGAAGGGAAAGGCACTGTTGGATGCAAGTGGGTGTTCACTGTGAAGCATAGGGAGGATGGGTCCATTGAAAGGTACAAGGCTAGATTGGTAGCAAATGGCAACCTACATGAAGAGGTATTCATGGATCCTCCTCCAGGTTATGGGTTTGGCAAAAAGGTATGTAGACTAAGAAAAGCTCTATACGGTCTTAAGCAGTCCCCTCGTGCTTGGTTTGAGAAGCTATGTGGGGCCATGAAGAAAGGGGGYTACACTCAAAGTGGGGCAAATCATACCCTGTTCATAAGGAAGAGAGATGGCAAACTTACAGCACTTATTGTCTATGTGGATGATATGGTAATTACAGGGGATGATCAGGAAGAGATTAAAAGACTAAAGGAGGTCTTGGCTGCTGAATTTGAGATCAAAGACCAGGGCCAACTGAGATACTTTCTTGGGATTGAAGTTGCTAGATCCAAAGAGGGCATCTATATATGTCAGCGGAAATACATCCTTGATCTTCTACAAGAGACAGGCATGATGGGGTGTAGGCCAGCAGATACTCCAATAGAACAGAACCATGGTCTACAGGAGTCDGTAGGAGAGGACTACCTTGATAAGGAAAGATACCAAAAGCTGGTGGGGAAGTTGATTTACCTGTCCCTCACTCGCCCTGACATTGCTTATGCTGTACATGTTGTCAGTCAGTTCATGCACAYKCCTAAAATCCCTCACATGAAAGCTGTGGAAAGGATCCTCAAATATTTGAAGTCTTGCTCGGGGAAAGGAATTATGTTCAGAAACAACAATAAAATTGAAGTTGAAGGATATACTGATGCAGATTGGGTTGGCTCTATTGGGGACAGGAAGTCTACTTCCGGGTACTACACCTTTGTTGGAGGAAATTTAGTTACATGGAGGAGTAAAAAACAGAATGTGGTGGCTAGATCTAGTGTAGAGGCCAAATATCGAGCTATGGCTCATGGTGTTGCTGAACTTCTATGGCTTAAGATCCTTCTTGGTGAACTTGGAATAAAGATCGAGTGCCCTCTCAGGTTGTACTGTGACAACAAGGCTGCCATCAACATTGCAAATAACCCAGTGCAACATGATAGAACGAAACATATTGAGATAGACCGCCACTTTGTCAAAGAAAGAATCGTCTCAAGAGAACTCTGCATTCCTTATACTCCCTCCGAGATGCAGATTGCAGATGTTCTAACTAAAGGGCTAGCTACAGTGAAATTCTTGGACTTACTTGCCAAGGTAAACATGATTGACATCCATGCTTAGCTTGAGGGGGAGTGTTGGTTCGGCTGTCTTAATTTGTTTGTTTTATCTTTGTTGTGTCTTAAGACATTAGTTATTGGGCCTAATCTTATTTAATGTTTTATTTGACTAGGTGTCCCATCACTAATCAGGGGCATTCTAGTCTATTTATGTAACATTATGTAATGCTCTTATATATAATAATTTAGGGCTGGCTGAGAGTGATTTTTCCGCCCTTGTCATATCTTCTCCTTCTTCTTATTCTCTTCTCATTCGGCAGCCTTATTCAAGCAAACATAACTTATGCATATATATTCTGTAGGGAAGATTTTGAACCGAACTAAGGATACTATTAGTCTTTGAATATCTGAAAATCACCATATGGATAGATAGAAATTGGTATAATCCTTTTTAATTTTGCTAAGAGCTATTAGGGATGCCATAACAAAGAATTACCAAACAAATAAATATTACATATAAAAAAAAGAGTTACCAAATAAATAATATTTCACTATTAAAGTATATACATTCAAATACTCAAGAGTTGCCTCAGTAGTATTCATCCATGATTTTGTTCTTTTGCCTTTTGCTGGTGAGATTATAACTGATATTATCTTCATTGCAATGAGTAATGTGCAGAAATAATTTGATTACTGAAAACCAAAAGGAAAAAGAAAGACCAGAAATTAAGAAAATTGGGTCTAGGAGACATGAGCCAGTAATATGTCAATAGGGTATGCAATTAGTGTTTGAAAGAAATCAGGTACAGGAGAAATCTAGCAGCAGTATTTGCATGATTTTTTGTTTCTTTTGATCTAGAATCATGAAACCTTTCCTATTCCTTTATTTGTCAACTTTTATTTTACATGTGATTATCACTGGATGGGGTTTAAATCCTAGTTGTTTTTGCGGGATGTGAACCATGTTACAGTGTAGCTTCTCCATTTGGTTTGATTGCAACTGTGGCTTTCCCAATTTAATATGAATAATGCATTGAATCCTAAAAGTAAAATCAAATTTTACAAGAAAGAGAAAATTACTATATTCTAAGATCATGGAATTACTAATACCCAGAGTTTTGATACCATAGCTTTAAAGCCCCTTTTCTCAATGTCTTGGCAGGCTTGGGGGTGGTGTTGCTCAGAAAGTGGTTTTAGCTGGACTTAGATGCATTGTCAGCAACCAGGATAAATGGTATTTGGATCATTTGGATGCCACTTGGCAGGGGTTTTACATGAATGAACCACTCACAAACATCACAAACCCCAATGAGCAAAAATTGGTTATTGGAGGTGAAGTATGTATGTGGGGAGAAAGAGTTGATGCGTCAGATCTTGAGCAGACCATCTGGCCACGTGCTGCAGCAGCTGCAGGTAAAAGAAAAAAGTCTATCAGGTTATTGCTTACACAAATGGAATATCAGGATATATCACACTAGGCAATTATGCAGGGAATAGGACTTAAACCTGGCTGGATGATTGTATTGATTTGTTTAATTGGTGTTTTTGTCCTGTCATAGGCTACTTGCAAACAGTCCAGAAGAAATTCCATGGATTGGATCTTTACAATAATCCAACCATGTCAATTTTATGCACACCTGGTTGGATGATTGTAATAATATTTTCAATTGGATTCTTTTTGGTCTGTCAAATGCTACTCATAACAATCCAGAAGAAATTTCAATTTTTGGTACATGAGATTTCAAGATCCATCAATGGTGTTCAAATACTTGAATGTTTCCCATGTGTACCTGCTATATGAATGGCTGTTTTTAGGATCTACTCAAAGGATATTTTGAACTGTCTTGTCTTCATGTAGCCCCTTATTTCCAAAATCTGGATTGATTTTTTTTCCTCCTCTATACCTCTTTTATACTACTCATTCTCAATAATAGAATATAATTTTGTTGCTAATAAAATAAAAAGGGAAAAGAAACAGATAACTACAAAACACTTCCTATTTTATCTCGAGGAAGTAGAACCATTTGCCTGGAGAGCGTGTCAGGGACACCTGAATAAATTTATTGCCGATCAGCTATGATTTTGTTAGTGTCATCCTAACAGTAAAAGCAGTCACTGAAACTGCTAGTTGCTATGCCTGGAATGGCTGGTATCTTTCATAGCACTCTTTAACTGAGACATCCAAAACATTATGCTGTTATGTGTTAGTTCTTGTGGAACTGGTGAACTTGAAGGGTGAGCCCAAAAAGAACCTAAGTTTAGGTAACTATGACTCATTATTTTATAGAGTGGGATTTATAGGCAGGATCCATATAGATGATCCTCTTTGTCTACAGCTGTCATGTGTGAAAATTGTGACATGTCCCACCCCCCAAGGAAAAGCTATTATGTTATGTCACATTTTTTCTTAGGAAGAACCGAGGAGGGGGTAGGGGGTAAAAAGCATGGAGAAATTACAGCGTGAATAGAGGATTGTGGTCTTTGTTGACTGATTCATTTATGTATATTAAGTCCTGCATGTATGCTGGTTTTCCCTATTCTCCACCCCTCCTTGTTTTCATTCTCTATAGGCTTAAATCGAGAGGTGTTAAACAAGGTAATTGATGTTTATGGCTGATAAAAAAAGGCAATTGATGTTTATGCTATATTTCTTCCATTTAGATATGATTTAAATATTCTTGTTGTCATCTATTATTGCTTAGGCTGCTACAACAATATAGATGACTCTCCACAAAGTTCACAATTGAAACTAAACTTAGTGAAGCTTTCACAGTTTGCATTGTGGTCCAGAATACACAAAATCAAACATAAATCTTTAATTGAAAAGACCCAATCTAGGAGGTAATCATGGTCCGGGCTAGGCCAGGCATAGCACCTTGGATAAGCTGCTCAACCTAAGCCTGGGCCTATCCCAGCCTGCATCATGGGCCTGAAATATAGACTCAGGCCCAGGCTAGGTTTATGGGTTGGACAAGGCCAAGCCTGCAAATTTCTGGGCCTGGTGTAGGCTTCAGCTTGTACACAAAAACTAGCCTGGCCTGGAAATTTGTGGGTAAGGAATGGTCACCCTTACTCCAGATCATTGCAATCAGATCAATGTGAGAGACAAGGTCAACCGATGGCATAAGCAATATATTTTAAACATTTTTTTTAATTTGCATTTCTATAAAACATAATACAAAATACAAATGAAATACATACAAATTTATTTTCAATAAACAAAGAATGAATTCATTGATAGTTTTATGTTGCTTTTCTTATTCCCAAAATATACTAATGGTTTGTACCTTGTAATTCTAGTTTATTTATTTAAAGTATGTTTTCTTCCTTTAGGTACATCTATAAATCTTACCTACAATTGAATGTTTATGTATAGACTCAGAGTTCTTTTCATATTCTGTCTTTAGTCAGTCCACCTGTTATTTATTATTTTTTTAGGACTGGTAACAAGAGTATGGGAACTCCATCTGCATTAGACTATTGTTTATTTGTTTATTTACTAATATATTTATTTATATTTCTGAAATGTGATCTTTGGATGAAGAGCGACTTTGGACTCCCTATGATAAGCTGGCTAAGAATCCAAAGCAAGTCATTGGAAGGTTGTCTCACTTCAGATGTTTATTGACTCAAAGAGGAGTTGCTGCAGCTCCATTGGCTGGACTTGGACGAGCTGTCCCTGAAGAACCAGGTTCTTGCTATAAGCAGTGATAATCTGAAGTTCTAAACTATAGGTTTAATATTGTTAGGGAGACAACCCTTGTCGGCAGCTTGAATGGGGCAATTCTGGCAAGATTGTGTTGCTATCGTCTGAGATGTAGGTAAATAAATGTTGTATGAGCTCTGAATTTTAGCCTTTAGGCATATTCTCATCTTAGAGCATGCCTTTGGAAATTAAAAAATAAATTGAGTACTAAAATTTGTAACAAAAAATTATACTAGTTTCCGATAGTCTGCACTTTACATAAACTACCAAAGTATGTATTTTTTATATGTAACCTTATTTATAGTAATCTGAGACCCAGATTTAGTGTTACTGATATATTTTTTGGGATTTATTCAAGTTTCCCTAACATATTCACACATATCTTAATTGCCTTTTTCAATACTCATTGTGTCTCAGATACTCTGAAACTTGGTTCATTACTAAAGATGTTTAGGTTTGTTTAATTCATATTTGTTTGTGTTATTTATACTTTAGAAATGGATTTAGCATCTGGGTTGTTTAGTGAGTTTCCTTAAGGTTCCGTTTGTTTGCAGTGCAATTTCATTTACACTCTTCATATCCATGGGAATGTAACTGAGAAAAGTGCAAATTCTGGTTTACTTTTATTTCAGGTTTTACTTCACTTTGCTTTGGGTTTTATTTTGCTTCATTTGCACAGTAAACAAGCAAAACAAAGTAAAACTTGAAACAAAAGTATACTCAATGTTCTAAGTATCAAAAACGCAAAGGATATCGTAAAAGCATTTTTAAGAGACACATTCAGATACACTTTTTGATATGGATAGATATGTTAGGAAAATTCAAATAAATCTTAGAAATACATCAGTAAAACTAAATGTAAGTCTTAAATGACTATAAATATAGTGTCTATAAATGATATACACATAAAGCATATGCTTTAGTAGTTTATGTGAACTACTGACAGATGTTAAGGAAACATTGGGAAATGGTACAAGAAAAATATGACTTGAGCAAAAATTACTTGTTTAAGCGATTAATTAATTATTTTTCTTTTTTTTAATTTTTTTGATTAATACAACATTAATAAGAAAAAAATTGATAAAATGGATTAGAAACATTAAACTTAAAGCATGTTATTTTGACAAAATGTAACATTATAGCTTAGTGGAAAAAGTTCTCTTTAATTTGGGTGACATGTGTTTAAGTCTTAGCAACTATACATGTATTTCTGCGTGTAATTTTTAGCAGCATTAATTAATAGAGTAATTCAAATTTGAAATAAGTATGTTTATATTGGTTTGCAACAATTGATATTAGTTTATAATGGTTGAGTATAGGGTTTGTAACAGTTTTGTGTCAGTTTGTGAGTATGCTTTATAATGTCAAGTACGTGATTGTGACATAGGGTTATGAAGGTTTACTATAGATTTGTACCAGTTGAGTATGGTTGTAATGGTTGAGCCTGGGTTTGTAGCAGTTTGACTAGTTGAGCATTGGCTTAATGGTAGTATGGGTCTATAACAGTTCGTACAAATTGCATTTTAGTTTGGAATGGTTGAACCTGGGTTTGGAACAGTATAGTTTACGATGGTAACTGTTTTTTACTTTTTACCAATGTAGTATTGTTTTCTGTGTATGGGTTTGTAACAGCCAAGTATGGGCTGTAATGGTTGAGTATCGAATTGCAACGATTTATCATGGGTTTGTATTTGTCCATAATAGTTAGGTCTGCTTTGTTTACTTAGTAATTGTGCATAATAGTTGAATATCATTTTGTGACAGTTACCATCCATCAACACAGACCAATGTAGATTGATAAGGACCTGATACATGATAAATACAGTAGTGTTTTTTTTCTTATTTTGATTTCTTTTGAAGGGCTACACGACGAGTTCGCATTCTACTCGCTATGTTCAGATCTAAGAGAAGCTTTCGTTCTCCACTGTCAGAAATTTCATTTATCTCGACCTTAGATGTTAGATCGATGGCTTTCTCGAAGCAATTTGCAGCGAGGTCATATTTCTTCATATCGTGCCAGATCAAACCCGCTTTATAGAAGAAAGAGGCGGATTTGAATGCTGGAGATGGAATTCCTTTCACATGACCTAAAACAGCAGATCAGCTGAGATCTGACGGAGCTTCGCCAGGTCTTTGTTGACCTTCACTTGGGTCGCCGAAGATCGAATTCCAATGGCATTTGATACTTTTATGAAGTTTCAAGCAAACCTTCTCTGGCAATGGATGTTCAGGGGAGAGACCTTCGGCTTCTTTGATCAAAACTTCAATTTCTTCGAGTATCTGAGATTGAGATTCATGACTACTTAGCCAAATCTCCGGCGAAAGTTCGGAGATCTTCATTGTTGGCGAGAAATAGTTGTGGAGACGTTTGGAGGGAAAGAACGTTGGTTACTTCTTAGGCTATACGGATTTGAAATTTTAAATTGTCGAAGGGAGAGAGCGACTTCTGCACTTCATGGGCCGGACAGGCTTTGGGCCCATGTCATTACATATATAGGCCAGACTGGACCTGAAGTATTGGGCCCTAGCTCAACCCAAAAATCTGCAGATCTAATATGGGCCCAAAACAGGACAGACCTAAAAACAAAAGCCCAGAAGGTCCAAGCCCGAAAATTTTGAGGGGGTGCGCCAGGGCGGAGCAGGCTTGCAGACCAGGCTAGAAATGAGCCCCTACCCTGCCTGCACTATAAACATGGCATAGGAGTCGATTTAGGATGAACCGAGCAAGTCAATCTGGCCCGGCCCAGCCCATAGAAACTATCATTTGAATTCGGGTCAACCTGGCCTTGACTGAACTTAGACCAAACCCTAAAGTCCCCAACTCTGATGGAGGGAATTGATCCTAGCTAGGTCTCTGGCTCTCAACTAAAACATTATATAGGGATGGGTTTGGTCGGGTTGAGGTCAACCCTAATCCAATCTGGATTGTTGACCCCTAACTGGATGTCTACGGTTAGTAGGGGTGAGCAAATGGATAAGTTCTAACCCAAATCGAATAGACCGACCTTTAACTGGCCTTGAATCAATCCTATTCAATTTGTTACATGGTAGGGTCTGGATTTGGAACCAACTCCTATCTAGGTTGGTCCCAAGGTTTAGGGGTTTATCCTACCTTAACTGATTCGATGAATCGGCCTTAATGGATCTGGCCTTGGAACCGAACTTGCCTTGAAATAAACTCCAAAATATTTTTAAGAATGAAGATTTAAACCCAAACACTCATTGTTACAAAGGCCAGTCTCACTTGACCATTGAGTTATTTAAGTAATTTGATCATTTGTTCTCATTTTAATATTTACAAAATTTAAATTATAATATGATAAATTTTGAACCATATGTTAATATATTATAATAATCTACATATTAAGTTACTCAATTTATCCAATAAACATAACGTAAGTTTCAAATTATATATTATCATCATTGAAAATCTACTTTTTAAAGAACATGTTTCGTTTTTTAAGAGGGAGAGTAAACAAAGAACAGGTTCCATGGGTAGACCCTGGAACCGACCTCAAAACTGACAAGGCTAGAACCGACCTTCATAGGGTAACCAAATCAACCTATGCTCACCCCTAATGGTTAGGTTGGGATTGGGTTGATCTTGGTTTGGGTTTGGGTTAGCCCAATTTCTTCATTTCTTTTTGCTTTAAAAAGAAAAGGCAAAAAGGCGTTCTACTTATGTCAGGACATTAGAAATTGATTAAAACAACTTCTCAACATCACTACAATTCAAAATTGAATTGGAAGGTGTAGCAAGAATTGGTTTTTCAATGGTTTTATTGGCTTTTCTAAATAAACTCAATGAAAGGACAAAAACGGCAAATGGGGTTTTTAAAACTTTAAATGGATCACATGAGATGTGGCATGTTAATGGTTCTTAATGCCTCCGAATATTTTATTCCAATTAGGTTGGCCCATAGGGCAATGGGCATATTTAATTCCATTTTAAAACCTTAGGATATGTTCAAATCTTTTAACCTAAGAATTATCATTCACAATGGTGGAAAGAAGCCTTAAATATATTAGAAGAGATAAAACAATTGTTTTAAGAAAACAAATATTGAAGGGAAGTAAAGGCTGTAAAAGAACCAATGTTTTAAAAATTGGGCCGAAGACAACCAGTTTTGCCTGTAAGTCATGGATTGTTGGTTCAACCATTCGGATTGAATGGGTCAAACTGTTCCACATCATAACTTTATATATAGCTAAATACAAACATACATACATACAATCATATGTGTGTAAGCATATATTTTATCCATAAATAATAATATTCTACATGTAATATAAGTATTGTTTTATATTTAATTTATGTTTTTAGTTCAAATTTAATTTTTATATATAGAAATGCAAAGAAATTGTGATTTGAGGCCAAAACAGTTTTTTTTTTGAAAAAATAGAGAGATAAGGCACTTATAGCCCCTTGGAATGCATAGATCTCAAAAAGTTACCCTAAAAAAAAAAAACACCCCAATTGGACATCGGAACATAAAGTTATGGCCTTCAAAAGTTTGCATACATATTTAGTGTGCATTTAGTGACACTTGGTCGAATGGGTTAATGGTTCAACTACTTGAATCAGACAATTTTTGACCAAGACAATAATTTTGACCAGTTGTTGGAAATAGTACTGACCCATAAAATATACCCAATTTGCTGATTATTATATGTAGCTTTGCAACAGAAAAATACATTAATAAGAACGAATAGGGAAAATGCAAGCGAGAGATGCAACCTCACCCAATTGGGTGAGTATGCATTAAAGACGATTATATGCTAACCTCACAGCACATCTAAGCATTCCCAATGCAAGGTTGGGATGTGGTGTGGGGCGTGCTCCATGGCGAGCCAATACCAAATCCTCTAATTGACCGAAGTTTTACTATTACCATGTTTAGGGGATAGAACTCAAAATAAGTGGTTTTGATATGCCATTAAACCATAAATTTGGCTATTTCAAAATCCAACCAATTAATTGATAAATACACCATTTTTGCTATTACATTTGAATCTAGATTAATTGAATATCAGGTTGTGAAACTAATGATAACGGGCACCTAGTGATAAAATATATGGAACTCACAGTGAGGAGTTGAGTGTTTGTGGATCCCATGTACTTTATGGTTGGTGTAGAGCATTATAGGTGCCACAACATGCTGAATAGCTATTGCCTTCACCTTCAGTTAAGCCTATTTCAATACATTCAAAAATGTCTAGTACCTACAAAGGCATTGTTGATATATTTCCCATTCTGGCGTTCTGTCAAGGTGATTGTGGATGTTCAACAATTAAGATAAAACAATGACTGGTTTTAGTATTTATTAGAAATCTCAGA